CAAATATCTTACTGAAGGATCTACAGTGCTCAAATATGTTTTCTTTAAATCTGTTATTTTGATGTATCACATTAATCAGTGTTCTAATATGGAATCTTTCATTAATGGGATAAAGTGAATTTGGCTAATATTAAGTGCTAACTGGCTAAATTTAAATGGCTAAAGTCATATTTATATCTTTATGCATTTAAAGGAGATTCAAGTTAGAATTTTCTCTTTTTTCATTTTGTTCAGTTTTTTTTTTTTTTTTAAGATTTCTTTATTTGAGAGAGAGAAAACGTGGCATGGGAGGGGGGCAGAGGGAGAGAGAGGGGAAGCAGGCTTCCTGCTCTGTCCCAGAAGCCTGAGATCATGACCTGAGCCAAAGCAAAGAGATGGAGGCTTAACTGAGTCAGAGCCAACAGGTGCCCCTCATTTTGTTGTTTTTTTAATAGCCTAATATAATAATGTGAACAAATTTTTCTTCCTTAAAAGAGTTTACATCACATTGGAACTGTATCTGGCTTAAAATGAATCAGACCTTATTATAGTCAGAGACCTCCAATGCCTTTTAATCTGTATATTGAAATTGGTTATTCAGATTGTTTTCTTTTTTTTAAATATTTTATTTTGTTTATTTATTTGAGAGAAAGAGTGTGATAGGAGGGGCAGAAGGAGAGGGAGAGAGAGAATCTCAAGCAGACTCCCCACTGAGCATGGAGCCTGATGCAGGGCTTGATCTCATGACCTTGAGACCATGACCCGAGCCAAAATCAAGAATTGGACGCTTAACCTACTGAGCCACCCAGATGCCCCCACATTGTTTTCTTTTTCAGTCAGGATTTGGAACATAATCTAGAAAATAATGCATTTCCCTTAAAAACATAGATGTTTTTAAAAATAGAAGGTGCTTTACAATTTTACATTCTGAGCAGAAATACTTTCGGCTTCCAGTTTCTCCACAGCCTTCATAACAATGTTTCCACTCTTTTCCACTCTTTTTTGCTTCCACCCCTTGCAGTGGGTGTAATATTGCATTATGGTTTTGATTTGCATTTTCCTAATGCCTGGTGATGGTGAGCATATTTTCATTTGCTTATGAGCCATTCATATATCTTTGGTGACATGTCTATTCAAGGCTTTTTCCCATTTCTTTTTTAGTTGGGTTGGTTTCTTCATAAGTTGTAAGAATTCTTTGCATATTTTACACCTGGAAGTGTCTTCATTTTGCCCTAATTTTTTAAAAATATTTTATTTATTTATTTGACAAAGAGAGACACAGCAAGAGAGGGAACACAAGCAGGGGAGTGGGAGAGGGAGAAGCAGGCTTCCCGCCGAACAGGGAGCCCGATGCGGGGCTCGATCCCAGGACCCTGGGATCATGACCTGAGCCAAACGCCGACGTTTAACCACTGAGCCACCCAGGCACCCTTGCCCTAATTTTTTAATGATAGTTTTGCTGGATATAGCATTCCTGTTTGACTTTTTTTTATTCTTTCAGCACTTTGAATATTTTATTCCACTGCCTTCATTTGTTTACTATTGCTGATGAAGTGCCAGGCATTGGTCCTATTGTTGTTACCCTCAATGTGGATGAGTCTCTTCTCTCACTGCTTCAGAATTTTTTCTGTCTTTTGCTTTCAACACTTTATGATGTATCTCTGACAACTTCTGGATTTTGAATTGTAGTTAGAAATGATCTCCTTATTTCCCTCTTATGTACACATTTTAAGTTTATGACTTATTTTTAAGATTTTTTAAATTTAAATTCAATTTAGTTAACATATAGTGTATTATTAGTTTCAGGGGTAGAATTTAGTGACTTATCAGTTGCATAAAACACCCAGTGCTCAGGGGCACCTGGGTGGCTCAGTCATTAAGCGTCTGCCTTCAGCTCGGTTGTGATCCCAGGTTCCTGGGATCGAGCCCCACATCGGGCTTCCTGCTCGGCAGGGAGCCTGCTTCTCCCTCTCCCATTCCCCCTGCTTGTGTTCCCTCTCTCACTGTCTCTCTCTCTCTGTCAAATAAATAAAAAATCTTTAAAAAAAAACAGTGCTCAATGGTGCCCTCCTTAATGCCCATCACCCAGTTACCCCATTTCCCGACACCTCCCCTCCAGCAGTTCTGTTTGTTTCCTAGAGTTATGGTTTGCCTCTCTGTTTTTATCGTATTTTCTTTTTCCTTCCCTTCCCCTATGTTCATCTGTTCTGTTTCTTAAATTCCACATATGAGTGAAACCATATGGTATTTGTCTTTATCTGACTAACTTACTTTGCTTAGTATATTACCTCCTAGTTCCATCCACGTCATTGCAAATGGCAAGATTTCATTCTTTTTGATAGCTGAGTAATATTCCATTGTAGATATACACACACACACACACACACACACACACACCACATCTTCTTTATCCATTCATCTGTCAGTGGACATCTGGGCTCTTTCCATATTTTAGCTATTGTGAACATTGCTGCTATAAACATTGGAGTGCATGTGCCCCTTTGAATCACTATTTTTGTATCCTTTGGATAAATACCTAGTAGTGCAATTGCTCGGTTGTAGGGTAGTTCTATTTTTAACTTTTTGAGGGCTTATTTTTTTTACATTTACATCTCTGATCCATTTATACTTTATTCTGATACATAGTTTGAGATAGTGAATGAATTTGATCTTTCTCCAAATAACTACTCTGTCATTCCAACACAATTTTTAAATAGTTCATTACTGATGAAGAAACATTACGGTATCTTGACTTTACCCATTTTTTTTTTTTTTAAGATTTTAGGGGCATCTGCGTGGCTCAGTCAGTTAAGCGTCTGCCTTGGGCTCCAGTCATGATCCCAGGACCCTGGGATCAAGTCCCACTAGCTCCACACCGAGCTCCATAGCGGGCTCCCTGCTCAGTGGAGAGCCTGCTTCTCCCTCTCCCTCTGCCCTTCCTCACTCCCCTCACCCTCCCCCCGACTCATGCATGCTCTCTCTCAAATAAATAAAATTATTTTTCGGGGCGCCTGGGTGGCTCAGTTGGTTAAGCGACTGCCTTCAGCTCAGGTCATGATCTCAGCATCCTGGGATCGAGCCCCACATTGGGCTCCCTGCTCGGCAGGAGGCCTGCTTCTCCCTCTCCCATTCTCCCTGCTTGTGTTCCCTCACTTGCTATGTCTCTGTCTGTCAAATAAAATCTTAAAAAAAAATAAATTTATTTTTCAAATAAATTTTTTAAAAAAGTGTGGGGACACCTGGGTGGCTCAATCGGTTACATGTCTGCCTTCAGCTCAGGTCCCTCTGCCTACTGCGCTCCCTGCTTGTGCACTCTCTCTCTCTCTTTCTGACAAATAAATAAATAAAATCTCCGGGATGTGTGGGTTTGTGTTTTCAGGGTTTGGTGACATTCTCAGATGTAGCCATCGACTTCTCTCAGGAGGAGTGGGCATGCCTGGACTCCACGCAGAGGGACCTGTACTGGGATGTGATGTTGGAGAACTACAGTAACCTGGCTCAATTGGTTAAACATCTGCCTTTAGCTCAGGTCATGATCCCAGGGTCCTGGGATCAAGTCCCACATCAGGCTCCCTCCTCAGCCGGGAATCTGCTTCTTCCTCTGCCTGCTAATCTCCCTGCTTGTGCTCTCTCTGACAAGTAAATAAATAAAATTTAAAAAATAAAAATAAAAAATAGTGTGCCTACAAGAAAAAGCCAGAAATAACTTATCACTCAAGGTAGCTTTTAAAAAGACCGATTTCTCTAGAATGTTTTAATTAAAGAGGCAAATATGGTGCCTTTACAAGGGATCAATACTAGAGTGGAACCACATAGTCCACCTTTATAAGGGAAAACCTTACTTTATAGAAATATCCCAGTTAATGGATGTAGAAGGAATGTCAGAATTAGAAAAACTGTTTTTAATAAATCAAATGATGATCTGAGGGACAGGTCTCAGTCACTCTAAAATCAACCGTTTAGGGCTCCTGGGTGGCTCAGTCAGTTAAGCGTCTGCCTGGGGCTCAGATCATGATCCTGGAGTCCCAGGATCGAGCCCCCCATCGGGCTCCCCCCTCAGCAAGGAGTCTGCTTCTCCCTCTGACCCTACCCCCCCATACTCTCTCATTTCTTTCTCAAATAAATAAAATCTTTATTTTTTTAAATTTTATTTTATTACGTTATGTTAATCACCATCATTAGTTTTTGATGTAGTGTTCCATGATTCATTGAATATAGCACCCAGTGCTCCATTCAATACGTGCCCTCTTTAATACCCATCACCAGGCTAACCCATCCCCCACCCAAATCGTTAAAAAAATAAAATCAAATCAACCATTTAGCAACGGGTAACATCACACAGATGACTAGCCACCCTTACGTAAGGGACGGAAATGCATGTTGGGAGCAGGGCCGGCCTCCCATTCACTACGCAATTCTTTGCCCTGAACTACATTTCCCAGAAGTCTGTGAGGCACAGGTCCTTGGGGGCCGTGTAGGGTTGCATGCCGGGGAAGTGGACGACCGGGGGCCCAGCTCCGTGTGTTCCCGGGCTGCTGGACTACATTTCCCAGAGGCTCGAGCGCCGTCCCCGCCCCGAGTCGGAGCGCAGCGAGGTACCTGCTGGGAGAGGTTTATTGAGCCGAGGATTGTCTGGGCTCAGCATCCCGCGGCCCCGGTCCGGAGTTGACCTCAAGCCTTGTGCCCCCTCCTCACGCCCTGTGGGTCGTGGGGCCCCGAGCGGTGAGTGGCTGGCCTCCTGGGAGGGAAGCCGCGCACTCTGCGGAGGGAAGGGCGGCCAGGAGGGCGCCCCGGGGGAGGAGGCCGGACGCGAAGCCCAGGCCCGCGGCCCCGGAGAGACGTACAGGGCTGCGTGGGGGTGTCGGGGTCCGGGGCCCCCGGGGAGGGCACAGGCCCCGGCTCCGTGGCTGTGACGCACTTCGGGGAGTGTGTGGGGGCGGGGCGGCGCGGCGGCGGCGGCGCGGCGGTGGGAGGGGCCCCTGCGCCGCCGCGGGGGCGGCCGCGGGCCCGGCCGGCGCCGTACCGCCTGCAGCGCTGAGGTCGCGGCCGCTTTCCCCGGCCTCGCGGGCCGACGCAGGGGCAGTGGCCCCGAGGGAGGGCAGAGAACGTGAGCAGCGGGAAGGGCCCAGGCACAGTCCTGAGGTGACTGAGGACGAGAAGCGCTCCTTCCCGGCACCCTGCGTGGCAGGACGGAAAGGGGAGACGCGGGCAGGGGGCTGCTGCCCGGTTCAGAGCACCTCTTCGCTGCGGCCTGGTCCCCGGAAGCTCTGATGCTCCGATCCCAGTTCCCCCTAGTTTCCGGTGGGTTTTAGTTGGGACGTGCGGGCCTGCAGGGTGCCTTCTGATCCCGCTTGCCCCCCAGAAAGGCCCTGGCGTCTCCTCTCTCCCCCAGGCCAGCCGTCCTCCCGAGCAAGCGTCCTGAGGACGAAGACTTGTTACGCATCTTAAAGTCAAGGTTCAGATGAGTTACCTTTTTTGTTCAGTAAATGTCTTGTGTTTATAGGACTTCAGACTCTTTGCTTTCCTTGGCCTGAAATGTTCTCCCCAACAGTGACTAATTCTTTCCGGAGAGGTGTGATGGGGCCGTGCAGGTGTCTGCAGAGAACACAGAACAGAAGAATGCGGTGGGGAGGTTCGTGTTGTGCTTCGTTTTAGCCTGTGATTTGGTCAGGAGGGTACTTGTTTTAAGGTGGGATCCGCGGTCTTTCCCACCGGCCTGACTTCCAGAGCACGGTGAGAACAGGGACGGTTTGATTGTTTTGGCCAGTAAATGACAAAGTTACCAGCGTGGTGATGCTTTTAAAAGTGGGGTTTGAGGGACGTCCTTCCGGCCCAGTCGGTAGAGTGTGCAGCTCTTAGGAAATGTGCTGCTGGAGCGCGCACGAGAGCGTGCGGCTCTTGATCCCGGGGTCGTGAGTTCCAGCCCCAGGTTCGCCATGGAGCCTACTTAAAATTAAAAAAAAAAAAAAGTAAAATAAAATTCAAAGGAATTGAGCCATTATTTTAATAAGTAAATAAATAAAAGTGGGGTTTGAGCAAAGGGCTTTGTCATCAAAGGCAGGGATTTTTTTTTTTCAGTGATCAGTAGAAATTTGTTGTATTATCCACATCTTGTTGGAAGTCTGACAGCTTCAGTCTGTTTCAGTTGCATTTTTGTATGAACTGCAAGAAGCAACATGGTTGGACGTTCAGTGTGAGTTCTGGAACTAGAGCAGAGGGTTTGGCAGAGTTTCTAAAAGGTCATATATTGAATAGTTCATGCTTTGTGGGCTACATATGGTTCCATATTCTTCTTTAATTGATCTTGTTAATGCTTAGGATGGTTTTCGATTTGCAGAAAAAAATTGCAAAGTTAGTACAGAGAATTCCCAGGTACCCTGTACCCACTGTCGCCCATTATTAACAACTTACATTAGTATGGGATGTTATTTTACAATTGGTGAGCCAATTCTGATACACTGTCATTAACTGAAGTCCACGCTTTATTCAGATTTCCTTAGTTTTTACAGTAACATTCTTCGTGTGTTCCAGGATGCCATCCCGGAGATCACATTGCATTTCATTGTCGTGTGTCCTTAAGCTTCTCTTGGCTGTGACAGTTTCTCAGACTTCCCTTGTTTCTGATGACTTTGAAGGTTTTAAGAGGTACAGGTATTTGATAGGATGCCCCTCTCTTGGAACCTGATGCTTTTCTCGTGGTTGGACTGGGTTTACGGTTTTGGGGGTGGAAGATCACTACTTTTATCATATCTTGGCAAGAACACAAACTGTCAGCATGATTTATGATTTCTGAGTGTGAACTTGATCATTTAGCTGAGGTGGTTTGTCCGTTTTCTCTACTGTGAACTTACTCCCATTTTTCAAAGACTGGGTCTCCCCAAGTGACAGCTGTGTGTTTCAGAAGCCCTGTTGCTAGAGCCTAGTCAGTCTGACCCTGCTTTGGTGGTCACGTCTTTCTCTCTTCTCACCCCCTCACGTGCTTGTAAGGACCCCTACAATTACTTTGGGCCCACCTGGCATAATTCAGGATACCTTCCTATCTTGAGGTCAGCTGACGAGCGACTTCCAAGTCCACCTGCAACCTAACTCCCCTTTGCCGTGTAATGTAACATAGTCACAGGCTCCAGGGTTAGGATACAGACATGTTTGGGAGACAGTTGTCCTGCCTGCCACAGGCCTATCCATCCACAGTTCCCCTGATGACCAAAATATACCCACTCCCCCATAACTGTGGACTTTTTCTTTGTTGATTTGTTTTAAATTTGGGACTATCTTAAATTATATTTCTTATCATGGAATTAATATAGGCCTGCAGCAAAAGGTTCAGCTTCCTAAGGAGCTCGTAAAGAAGAAACTCGAAATTACCCATAGCTGTACCACCCAGAGATAATTGCTGTTGATATTTTGGTATGTATGTTTCCAGCCCTTCCCTCCCTCCCCCCATGCATATGTGTGTGGTTTTGTCTCCAGAGCACTGGATCCTGCTAAGCGATACGAAATTGAGCCAAAGACTCTCCAAATCTTAGTTTATAGAGGAATCCAACTCAGCTATGGCTGACATGATACTGTGTGCATGTGGAGAGGAGAGAGGTATACCAGTGATCCCCGTCTTGCTTTAAAAAAATCTCTGACACATTTACACCTTAAAGGATTAGAAAGACATCATTTGAAAGTAATCCCATGAATAAATAATCAATAAAGACAGGCTTTCAAAATTTGATTTTCTGGGGTTTTAACTTTTCTTTCACAGAACATGACAGGAGTCACTGACTTATTACAAGTATGAACTGTACTATAACATTTCCATGGGCAGATATATGAGTAAGATGACAGTAGTTTAAAACATTCACATAAACAGAGGCACCTGGTTGACTCAGTCAGTGGAGCATGCAACTCTTAATCTCAGAGTCATGGGTTCGAACCCCATGTTGGGTATAGAGATTGCTTTTTTTTTTTTTAAATTAAAGTGTTCAAAGAAATCTTCCATATCACATGGAATACAAGATCCGGCCGCTTGCTAATGTTCTCAATTTGGTATTTTCTCGGTTTATGTTTATCTTATTTATTATTTATTTCAATTTAATTAATTTAGTTTTTCATTTTATTTTAGTTATGACAGAGAGTGCGAGCAGGGGAGGGCCAAAAAGAGAGGGAGAGAGAGTCTCAAGCAGACTCCACGCTCAGCATGGAGCCTGATGGGGGGCTTGATCTCACAACCCTGAGATCAGGACCTGAGCTGAAACCAAGGGTTGGATGCTTAACTGACTAAGCCACCCAGGTGCCCCTCAGTTTACATTCTTTGAGCTGGATTTTCCATGCAGAATCATGTCTGTCCCTTTCTGCTAGTGGAGAGGGAACATTTCCTCCTTCTATATCTTAGACTCTTTTTTTTTTTTTTTTGCTACTGTTAATTTAAAAGAATTATTTTTTTTAAGTTTCTTATTGTTATGTTAATCACCATATATTACATCATTAGTTTTTGATGTAGTGTTCCATGATTCATTGTTTGTGCATAACACCCAGTGCTCCATGCAGAATGTGCCCTCTTTAATACCCATCACCAGGCTAACCCATCCCCCCAACCCCCTCCCCTCTAGAACCCTCAGTTTGTTTTTCAGAGTCCATCGTCTCTCATGGTTCGTCTCCCCCTCTGACTTACTCCCCTTCATTCTTCCCCTCCTGCTATCT